AATATATATATATATATATATATATATATATACCATTTCACTGAAGGTGTTTTGTGTGCCTGGCACCTGGGTTGTCACGCCTTAGTTCCAGGACTTTTGCTGAGTCCTCTGCAGCATTGGGCAAGTCATTTAACCTTGGTACCTTGGCTCCCTACACTGGTGCCTCCTCAGCACATCCCTAGGGGGAAAAGGGTTGAGCTGCTTAATAGCTGTGAAATGTAGGTACTCAGCTGGAAAAAGCTTCATGAGTGCAAAATGCTATTTGTCTGCAGCAAAAGGACCACCCTGGAGTGGGTGACACCAGAATAATTATTCTTTCATAAATCTGTTTAATAAAGACTGCTGCAAAAATAAGATGAGAATTGAAGTGTTCATCTCTTGACACTAATTGGCCTCATGCATTGCTCTCCCAAGGACTAAGGCTGCATGTTGAAAGCTGTGCTGCCCTGGGGGTGGAGAAGTGGTGTGTGCAGCTGCCCTCCCTGGTGGACTGCTCTGGCATCTGGCAAAGTGCATTGGAGGTTTCCGCTCATGAGAAACCTTTTTTTTTTTTTTTTTTTTTTTTTTCCATTCCTGAATATTAAGATGTAGCCACACATGCAGATCTCACTGGAGGGGTTTCACGTTGAAGTCAGTTCACCGATGAGGACTTGGCAGTGAAACAATGGGGAACTGGTGAGAGGGAGTCCAGTGAGGCTAAGGTGATGCAAATAATTTGGGTGTGAAGTAAAATCAATTCTTGCTTCCTGGGTGTCTTGTGATATAAGGTATGTCAGGTGACACTTGAGGTTTTTTTCAAAGAGGTTTTAATAATACAGTTTTAAATAACATTCTACCTGTATGGGGGGTTTTGTGTGGTTTTAATTTCTTTTCATAAACCCTCAGCTCCATAGGCAAGTGTCTCTGGGTGCCAGGTCACATACTTGGAGCTACAAATTAGGTGAGTGGCTTTTCTGTAGCCACACAGACACAGAGAATAAAAACACCACCAAAAAAACAAACATCAAAAAAGCCAACAAACCAGGCTTAGAGATTTGGCAATTTCTGATGAATCTTAGCTGTTCTAACTTGTGCAACTGGAAAAGATCTAGAATGAGCAATTTCAATATCTTAATCTCCAGAAATGAACTGCTTGGCTTGTTTTTGTTTTGGGGAATGATGGTTAAAATAATTCTTACTTAGAAGCAGAGTATCATTGCTGGATTTAAGGTGGAGTTTCTTTAGAGGACTGCTGTTTAAAAAGAACATCTTAAAGCCTTGAATATTGTTATATATGTGCTTGTGATAAATTGTGATTATTTTCCTGAGTTAAAATCCTTAATTATAGCAACTATCACATTCTTTTTTGCATTTCTTCTTTGACTATAGTCATGTTCAGTGAGAGGGTGACATAAATGAGGCACTTCATATTATGATCCTACAATAGCGTAGTAATTTTACTTAAGAGGTTTTATTTCTTATGTAGGCTTACTATTAGCTAGCTAGAGGTTTCTGGCTTTGAGTGTACATCTAGAACAAAAGCTCAAAGCAGTTTCTCAGTTCAGTTTATTTTAAAGCTATTCAGCCATTGTTTATAAATTGTGTTGCTGTAGTGATATCTGAGAGATGGCATGGACCTTGCCCCAGAGAACTGTTTTTCTAAAGAATACCCACTGCAATATTAATGCAGTGGGATGACTTAGGATAGAAATTCTTTTATTCTTATCCTTTTGATCTCTCTGTTTATGTATTTGAAATGCAGAAGTTATTAACTTTTCATAGCAGAAACATGAGCACCTGAGGATGTGTGAAAGCTGACAGGGACCCTAGGGGTGGTGGATTAAGTGAACCAGGCAGTGCTGCTGATAACACTAATCCACTTTGTGGCTTTGTTTCTGTTTTGTCTTCCAGCCTCCCAGTGTTCCCGACTACCCTCCTTCCGATGGGTATGCATTCAGTAACACGGTTTACAAAAGAGGGCCTCTGCTGGACCAGGGGGCAGCTGTTGCTGCCTTTAAGCAAACTGTTAGCCGACATGTAGATAGGTAACACTGAATCAACGGCATACGTGTTGCTGTGGATAACTGTCCCGACTTAGTGCTATTGGGGTGGTGGTGCCTGTAATTACCTCTGGTTGTGTCTGCAGCAGATCGTTATTTCTATGAGGAAGCAATTCTGGTTGGCAGTGGGTATTCTGCTTTTGCTTCTCTAAAACTTCATTAGAACTCTTTTAGTATATTCCGATGAAGCTACACTGTTTATGTATGCTGTTAAATCAATGCTTTTGTTAAAAATGATGTAGTGGAATTCCAACACAACTGAGAACACAGAATCCTCCTATTTGGGTTCAAATTTTATTTCTGCTTTGTTTCATGTTTTTAAATATACTCTTTGCTCTTTTCAGAACTACAAAGAATGACAAGTCTTCTCTGAGATTCACCTCTTCTTGTTTTGAACAATCATTTGATTTGTTTAGCTGTTCACCTAGTGCTCTGTAGTCTCCTGCTTTTTCTTTTCTGAGCTGGTGCATAAATATCCATTTTAAGAATAGTAACTCTTTGTTTCTTCCATTCTCTTTCAAATGTTACAGAAAATGCTCTGAAATGTTTTCATAGCAGCCGGTGTCTTTTTGCACATCCTCTTTCATCCCCTTCATTTTAGCCCAAATCCAAATACCTTGACAAGATCAAATGCAGTGATCCTTGGAGTCTTGGCTTTGTCTCCGGGGAGCCAACACAAGCTGTGGAAGTAAATTGGTAAAGAAGTGTTGGAATTGGTCCCCCATGCCAAACCATATTCTGTATATACCATATGAACTTTTGGCTTACAAGGCATGGAAGATAGTTAAGCTAAATTTTTGGCATCAGACTGCTGGTTAATATTATTAAATATTACAATTATTAAATTGTTTCAGCATTGATATAATTCTTTTGATGAAAACCTTTGCATAATCCCTAGTTTTGAGCTGTGTGCTAAAAGATCCTGTTATTAATCTGCATGCAAACAAACTCCCATATGGTGTGCAGGTTGAAAACTTGATTCTTTTCCCAAACTTTGGATTTATTCTTCATAACGACAACAGTAATAGCAGTCATCTCTTAATAATTTTCTCAAACTTGGTTACTTTTTGAGTTCTTGTCTCAGGACCAGTCAGCTTGAAATCTTGATGATCTGTACTCTGAGTTCCTTTCTCTGTTATCTGTAATGTGATAAGACCTGTTTTGTCCATTCAGAGTAAGAGTATTCCATGCAAATGTTGTTGCCTGCATTTCAGGTTTAGAGAATGAGTCTTACCGCATTGAACTATCGATGATATCAGTGTAACTGGCTGCAACTGAGTCATCCAAGCCTCCTTTGTGGCGGGTAAAGAGAAATGGGTGTTTCTAAGAAGCAGTTCATGTAAGGTGAAATTAGTCTTTTGAAAGATATGAAATGTGACATGCTGTAGTGGTGCCTGTTTCTCACCACTGACTGTAGGAGGGAGTCTAGATGGCTGGTACTGATGTGAACATCAGCAATGTGCCCCTATCTTCCAGTCTGTTCAACAGGACACAAACTTCCATTTGTTAATTGGCTCTTGAGACACATAATACGTGCCTGGTAGGAGCTCATTGTTGGGGGAAAGTTGTTAATATGTATTACCTCAAGTAACTTCCATTTAAAGGTAAATTTTAAAGCATCTGTGAAGAAGCAGGTGGAGGAGTGGGTTTGGGGGAGGGAGTGAGAGATTCAAGCTGACCCTCTCAGTCATCGTTTGCCTAGTCCTTGTTCAAATCTGGCATTTTTAATGAGTGGTCTGAAGGCAGTGACCAAGCCACCCCACTGCCTTCTGAGAGACAGTTAGGTGGGTGATGAAAATTAACTGTCAGAATCTTAAACTTTCAGTGCGATATTAGGTATATTGGGGAATCTCTCTGATGCTGAAAGAGTACTGAATAGCTTTTCAGCAAGTTGTGTGCTGTTTCAAAGTTGTATGCTGTGTAGCTTGATTTTTGTGCTGCCATTTGAAGAAAAGCACCCTGAAAGTCTGTGTAATCCACTAGGTTCTTGAGCAGTGTGCACTGGAGAGCAGAGGGCTGCAGTTACAGTATATCTCATAGGCAGTAATAAAAAAAAAGTGGCGGATGGATGGAGGGAAGTGCTGAGTATATTTGTGCCCTGAGTGAACTGCTTGGCTCATCAAGCTGGGCTTAAAGAATTATGGTCTCTTCAGAAGCATACAGGCCATTGCCTGGCCCATGTTCTGGGGATGTTGCTATTGATTGCAACAGAATGGAGTAAAACTGAAACAAGCATTTTTTTAAAAAACTTACTGATTTATGTTTTTTGAAGGGATCAGAATAGTTAGGTGTGGACAAGGTAGGAAGACACAGTTAGTGAAATGAGTTTGGAAAGGCAGCCTAAATGTAAAAGTACCTTCAAAGGTACATTAGTCATATCTCTGAGATAGTAAGAAAGGAGTTCAAAAATTATATGAATTTGGGTGGGTGGCAGAAAAAGTTGGGATTACTCACACATCTTTCAGCCTCTTAACAGCTATTCTGCAGGCCGGGGTTCATCCCATGTTTTTCACTCTCTCCTTAGACAATTTCAGTGTTGTGCTTTTCAAAATAATCTTTCAATATGACTCTTCCTTTGTTCTGCTCTTCAAATCAAGTGAGACAGTTCTCCACAGCCATGCAATAGCTAGGTAACTGCTGGATTGCTCAGGCACACCTGGGACTCATGGTTGCATAGCACCAACATCAGCAACCATCTGCATTCATATCCCTGTGCCATGATGTTGTATATAACATTTCAAGCCATTAATTGCTTCATGTTTTCATTATCTGTTTGGATTTTATTTTTTTTTTACTTTACTACTTGGTATGGATTTAGGTTGTGGTGTGTAATTTGCAGTAAGTGAATAATGTTACTGTTTCTTCTGGACCTGTTTTGAGGGGGATGGGGGGCTTCTCAACTTGGAGAGATACTGCATCAAAGAAACTAGTAGATTCTCGCCCAAAGGCATTCTGAGCAGTTCTTTCCTCACGGAAACAGAAAGTATTAAACTGTGGTATGCTTTGTTCTACAATGAACCCTGTTTGTAAACTGCCAAGAAATTATTTTTCATTTTTAATTGATACAATAACTTGAGGTTGCTAGAGTTGATGATATCTTATGGTTAATTCAGAAAACTGATCTACAGTAGGTGAGCATTTTTTAGAGTTTAATTCCGTTTATGTTGATGGCAAAAATTTATTCTTCTGTTGTGTATTTGAAACAATGTATGATGAACACTAGAAATAGTTTCGTACAAAGCACAATATATCAATTATATACTAAGTATAGTCATTTGTTTATATGGCAAATGACTGATTAACCTACTGTAGAAAAATAGACTAAATATAGTGCATGTTTATTTTAAAACAATAGCACCTACTAATCTAAGTTGTTATCGTATATCTTTCAAGCAGTGAGCTGATAAAGATTACCAGTAGTTGAGGTCTGTGTAGCTCAACTACCTCATTCTTTTGTTTCTTTCTTTGGGGTTTTTCTTGGCACTTAAATCAATGTGTTATGAATAGGTAGTTCTACAGCAGCATCATGTTATGGTGGGGTGGGGTTTTGTGCTTATATGTTTTTCAGGTTTTTGGAAGAGGGCATTTGTGTTTTTATTTGCTTGAATGTCTCATTGAACAATAGTCTGATCTTTGCTTTGCAGAAACTATGAAGCACACAGTAAAGCACAGACCAAGAAATATGCCAAATGCAAGTATGATTTTATGGCAAGAAACAATAGTGAGCTTTCTGTCATGAAAGAAGAGATTGTAGAGGTAATTTTTTACATTTATTTTTCCAAAGAAAAAACCCACAAATTTCTGGTACTACTCAAAAATTGAGGGTACCTTTCCTGTGGATAGTGTGGCTGTCCTTAATGATTACTTCAATGTGTGTGGCTTATCTCCCTTAATATGGAAAGTTCAGTTAATTTGTTTTGTGTTGTAGACAAGATAAATAGAGATTCTTCACTGACTTATGAGTTGATGCTGTGGAGATCCATGCTAGAAATATATTTCTGTGTGTGTTTTGTCTTCTCTGGTGTTGCTTTTAAAAGCCTCATTTAGTATTATTTAAATAACTGGCTCTGGCAAACACTGGAAGAGTTGGTACCCTGAAAGCTAGACACATTTGGAAGGGAGGGAGAAATAAAGAGGGAAAATGTTATGTATGAAATTGCATGGCAGACAGTAGATTTCAGACTACTTCTGGCCATCCTGCTCCAGTCCCTTGTTTACTCAGAAGTGCTCTCTTTCCAATTTTGTGCTTTCGTAGAATGATGCACTTTTCCTTGGGTTATTAGTAGTTAGTTACTCCCTTTGTCAACAGCATATGGGTTGTAGAGATGCCAGCCTCTCTGTGCGAGTATTTGATTTTCATTCTGCTATCTTGTCCAGCATATGTCTGAGTTTACAGAGGTTCATTACATGCTTTTCTTGAATATACTTTCTTGAGGGCCACATTTTGAAAAGTGCAGTACGACCATGTAGAATTAATGATGGTGATAAGCCTTCAAGGGTTTCCTTAGGGACATCTATGTAAGATTTATTGGCAGTTGGAGAAACTGGCAAAGCTATGGTTTTGATTTGAAGTGAAGCACAGTCTGCGTACGGGCAGGAGGAAAGTCAGAAAAAAATTATGTAATTAACTTACCAAATTATTTCAGATTCTGGATGACAGAAAGCAGTGGTGGAAGGTTCAGAATAAAAGTGGCAGCACAGGCTTTGTGCCAAACAACATTTTGGACCCTCTGAGGAATCAAGAAGGTGGTCTAGGATGGTCAGAGCCTGCATATACTCGCACCATCCAGGTATTGTCCGCTCCTTAGGAACAAAACTTTCCTTTGAAGTGTGCATGTGTGTGTGGAGGAGGAAGAGATTCGCAGCAAGGCTAAAATATCTGTATGTCCTACTGATATGTCAAAGGATTTGTATTTTTTTGTACAGGCTGAGACTGATTTCTGTATTTCATAGAGTCTAAAGTGAGAATAAAGTTGATAGAGATCCAGCAAAATGTTATCCTTTTAGAGTTTTTTTCTGCTTATTTGCTTAGTGGTGGTAATTTCAATCCTAATGGATGTGTATGCATTTATTTTAATTGCAAATATCCTTTGTGGATTGATAGCTGTTGATGCCAAAGAAGGAGTTTGAATTATTTAAGGTAGGGTCATCTTTGTTTCTCCTAGGAGAGTGAACACCAGCTTTTCTTTTTATTTTCCGTCTGTGTGTGTCTCTGTCTTAGTCTTGAATTTATTTAATTATTGTAATTTTGGAGTCATAAAAAAATAAGTGTCTTTGCTTTTGAATTCACAAAGCATGTATTTTTCAATTACTGTGTATCAGTGGCATTCTATTCTCTTGACTGAGTTTGGGGTTTTTTTTTCATTGTTGTTGTTTCTTTTATATGTTCAACAGAATTAGAGAGTAAAATTAAAAAATAAAAACAGTGCAATTGAGTAAGGATATACAGGAGAAAGTTGTAATGTGTATTTTTAGACAACATTTAAGTGGGCTGAAGGCTCATAAAATAAGAGGTTGTGTTTTCTATGACCTATTTCTTCCCTTTCATTTCTAATGATTTTGAAAGTTTAGGCAAACAAATTTGGATTAAGCAGAAATTCCAGGCCTGCCTCTGAATCAGAGGTTTTCAGTCCACATGTAAACCAGACTTCTCTTGAATTTTGAAGTTAAATTTAATTTGGTATAATATTCATTCCTTGTGCCTACACACTCCAGCTGATGACTGAAAAGTGAGAAATGCCATGATGTTACTATTGACTGTCTCTGCTACAAAAGTCCCAGTTGATGGTGTCACTGTGATGGATTCTCTGTGCACAGCTATCGTGAAAGCTGCAGCTTTCCAGTTTTGCCATGAATATCAAAAATCTCTTGAGAAACAGGTCCTATGCTATTTTTGGCAAAACTATGTGGTAGTTCTATCTTGAGCTTAGTGGGCTTGAATCAGACCATTTCTTGAGTTTTTCCTATCCCTAATTGTTTGCCTATAACTCATATATAGGCAAACAATTGCCTATATATGAGTTTGCCTATATATATATATATATAATTCATGTATAAGCTCATTCTAAATTAATTATGGTTTTTGCCTGTCTGTGAAATGAAGCATGCATCTAGAGTGCTTTCCAAATCCTGATTTAAAGATCTGACTATTTTTTTCTTTGGGTGCATGCCATTCTGTGTGTTTGGATTTGCAAAGAAATCTTGAGCAGACTTGAGCACAGTTTTGAGTAGAAGGTCTTACACGGTTCTTTGTAATACACTGCAGGTTTTGAAGTTTTCTGTTTGAAATAATGACATGACATGGGAAATAGTAAAATAATCATTTTCACAAAGCATTCTCCACGGAACTATGCATATTAGGGTCAGAGAACAAAATTTAAGATAGCTTTGTTTCTTTGCCCTCCGGCAGGTTGTTCCCTACTTCTTTATCATGTTCAAATGTGAGCTTGAAATACTGTGAAATTATTTAGGAATAGAATGAATTACACAGGATAAATGGAGTCTTCACCAAGACATGTCAGTAATGTTGTTCTTAACTTTATGGTGATTATTATAATTTTAGCACTCCTGAATGTACTCATTTGTCTCTTCCCCTGTGATAGATACATGGTTCATTTGGGATCTGTTTGCATAACCCTATTTATTTTCATAACAGCGCTATGAGACATCGCTGCTATTTCAGAGAGAAATGAGACATTGAAGGGATGACTGCCTTGCCCAAGGTCAAACAGGAGAACTTGTGGGTAGAGCTGCAAATTGAAGCAGTTCCTATCAGTGCCTTTACCAGACCCTGAACACGAGCAGGCTCAGCATCTGGTGCTGTGCAGCTTTTGCCGGTCTCCCAAGTCATCTTTGATTTTTGAAAGACTGCTTTCAAAGTAGTTAGACTGCTGCAGTGAGCCACAGATAAGTGTTATGTGCAAGGTTAGCGTATTTCTTTACAGACTAATGGCTTTCAAGCATAGCTGAACAAAGGGTGTTTCAAGATTATTAGGAAGTATTAAGGATTCCATTGCAAGAGGTAATTTTTTTCATTCAGTTGTTCTACGGAGGGACACCCATTCTCCAAGAGATGGATGCCTCGTTATCACAATGATTCTCAGAGCTGCAAAATTTATTTTGCACTTCCTTTCCTAGTGACCTCTGAGACCACACACTAGATGAGATCCTGATTAGATCCTGATTTTCCTCTGTTTGATTCAGGATCCAAGTCCCGAAGAGTTATTTGAAAGTACTGAATTGTCTAAGATGATACTATCAGAAACATTGCAAGCAATATCCTACTTATTTCATCATCTCTGTGAGTTACAGACTGTAACATTGTCTGTCTTCTGGTCAGTTGAATTAGTTCCATGAAAATTTATATTTTTGCTTGTTTGGTATCTTTATACATTTAGGAGAGCATTTTGCTGAATGTTTATGTTTTCCACTAATGCTGATTACTGTTTATGAGTTTCCTGTGGTGTTGATTGTTTAGTCTGTCTTTTCATTGTGAACGAAAAGTGGTACTTCACCTTCCCATTATGTATGAATGTAAACAGTTTCCCAGGCACTCTGATTTCTTCTTTTGTACAAATATTGCTGGTGAACCCAGAAAATAATTAATCATTATATTTCCTAATTACTGTGCATTTTATTAACTTTTTTTTATGCTCTTGAAGAAGAAATTTGAGGAACGCAATTGGTGTAGAGGTGTGTATCTTGGTGGGCATGTTAATTAATCTCATGACACCCTTTGTGAGGTGAGACAGTTTTATTACCAGTGATCTGTATGAAATCCCAAGGCGCAGAGAATAAATGTTAAATCAAATGCAGTCCTGTAGTCTTATTTTTAAAAAAACATGGCATCCACAGAAGTATGACAGTATATATGAGGCATGTTTGTGGTATGTAAACATCAAGATAAAAGTCTCCACCTCACTTGGAGCAAGTGTCCTTTGCATTTCTTGGTGATCTACCATCAAAACCTTTCTTTCAGTTCTCATGGTTTAGCAGCTCACTTAAAATATCTCTGTGGGAAGTTGTTTCCCCCCAAGCACAGCATTTGTGCTCCAAGTTAGTGTCATACTCATCTTTTGCTAACTGGTATCTTTCCTGCAGATCATGAAGTGTTTGATAATGAAGAGATGTAGTTGCCAGGTGTTCATTTTGCAGTGGCCAAAGAGATACCATAATTTTAGACAAAGAGCCAGTATCTCTTTTACCTCACTTCATACCAAATGTTCTTTAAAGTTACTGTCAGACCAAGACCTTTTGATCGCTTTTATTTCCTGTCCAATTCAACATTCATCCAATCCCAAATTATGGGATACCACTCATTATACTGGATAGTTGTTGAAGGAATTAATGATAGGAATTAAAAGTCCTCAGTTTGACCATATCTTTTTTTTTTTTTTAAAAAAAAAGAAATGGGACTAATCCTAGTTAATACCAACTTGAATAAGTAAATTCTGTCTGAATTTCTCCCTGTTCGATCCTAATGTACTTCTTGATTTCTGGCAAGATTATAGCAAGATGAGTTTATAAATCCAACAGAAACATAAATTCTTTCCACTCTACAAAGAGCTAATTAGATGACCTGTAATGGCATTTTAATAGGCAGCTGTTTGACTCTGCGTAACAGCTGAGCCCACCAAAGGAAACTGGCAAAAGACCTTGATTGAAATTTGTTCTTCCAATCTTGAGTACCTCATTATCCCATTTGGGTGAAGATAAGTAGTTAGTTCTCTGTTTTCTCTTAAAATGCATTTCAAGAAAACTTCCAAACCACAGTGCTGTTGACAAAACTGAGGCAAAGGGTTTTTGGGTAAAAAAACTGGCTGGATGGCCGGGCCCAAGGAGTTGTGGTGAATGGAGTTAAATCCAGCTGGCAGCCGGTCACGAGTGGTGTCCCCCAGGGCTCGGTGTTGGGGCCACTCCTGTTTAAAATCTTTATTGATGATCTGGACGAGGGGATCGAGTGCACCCTCAGTCAGTTTGCAGATGACACCAAGTTGGGTGGGAGTGTTGATCTGCTCGAGGGTAGTGAGGCTCTGCAGAGAGACCTGGACAGGCTGGAGCCATGGGCTGAGCCCAACTGGAGGAGTTTCCATAAGGCCAAATGCCGGGGGCTGCCCTTGGGCCACAACAACCCCCAGCAGCGCTACAGGCTTGGGGAGGAGTGGCTGGAGAGCTGCCAGTCAGAGTGGGACCTTGGGGTGTTGATTGACAGCCGGCTGAACAGGAGCCAGCAGTGTGCCCAGGGGGCCAAGAAGGCCAGTGGCATCCTGGCTTGTGTCAGCAATAGCGTGGCCAGCAGGGACAGGGAAGGGATCTTACCCCTGTACTCGGCACTGGTGAGGCCGCACCTCAATTCCTGGGTTCAGTTTTGGGCCCCTCACTACAAAAAGGACATTGAATGACTCGAGCGTGTCCAGAGAAGGGCAACGGAGCTGGTGCAGGGTCTGGAGCACAGGTCATACGGGGAGCGGCTGAGGGAACTGGGGGTGTTTAGTCTGGAGAAGAGGAGGCTGAGGGGAGACCTCATCGCCCTCTACAGCTACCTGAAAGGAGGGTGCAGAGAGCTGGGGATGAGTCTCTTTAACCAAGTAACAAGTGATAGGACAAGAGGGAATGGCCTCAAGTTGTGCCAGGGAAGGTTTAGACTAGATGTGAGGAAGTATTTCTTTCCAGAAGGGGTTGTTAGGTGTTGGAATGGGCTGCCCAGGAGGTGTTGGAGTCCCCATCCCTGGAGGTGTTTAAGAGTTGGTTTGACATAGCGCTGAGGGATATGGTGTAGTTGGGAACTGTTAATGTTGGATTGATGGTTGGACTGGATGATCTTCAAGGTCTTTTCCAACCTAGACGATTTCTGTGATTCTGAGGCTGAATGCTCTGCAGCCCTTTTGAACTCCTGTCACTGTGGAAACAGGAATGGGGCACTAAAATGTTTGGAAAGAGAGTAAACTGGAATCTCCATGTCTGTGTTAACTTAATGAGAGCATTTCCCAGCACTAATGCTAGTTATGGTTGTATCCATTGCCCCTTTAATGCTAAGTCTGTATTTGCCATAGTTTGAATACAGATATTCCTTTTTTTTGATGCCAAAATGTATGCAGTTCCCATTTTTTTTTTTTTTTTACAATGATCAAGAATTATGGTTGATACTGTTAGCACTTAAACTTACTATTCTGCTTACATTTAAAATAGATCAAATCATACCGTATCTTGATTTTTGACAAGATGCAGCCTGTAGTGTATTGAAAAAGAGCTTTAGCACCTACATTTTTTTCATGTAAAACCAAATATATTTTCTGGAAAAAAAAAAAAAAAAAGAAAAAGACCTAGTGTCCCAGCAAGGTTTTGTGATATATCCAGATTTTTAGTGAGTGTGTGTCCTCACTGTTCCAAGTAACTTAAAGGATTTGTTCCAGTTTACATGAGTTGAGAATTGCAAGTTTATTCTTAAAAAAAAAAAAATAATAGGAGAGAGGAAAAACAAATCCCAGAACTGTTTGCTGTTCTTATGACTGTCAGCGAGGTAATGAGTACATGACTGTCAGCAGTGACCTTTACCTCATTTTCTAAGCTAATCAACATTTCTTAAGTTAAAATATATAAGTACCTTTTTTAATATGTGCCATGATTTAATTCTTATTGTTCTACAGTTGCAAGTGTTCTCTACATTCACCCTATGATCTTCAATCCATTGTCGTTTTTTTGTTTGGGTTTTGTTTTTTATTAAAAATCTTTCTAAGTTTCTGTCTGGATAGGTGCTTTGAAAAGAGCTCATTGTTTATATGGTTTCACATATGTGTGTTTTGTAGCCAACACTCTGTTCATTATTCAAAAGAAGATGATGAGAATAACTCATCATGTGAGTTGCTTAGTGAATAAGAGGTAATTATTAGCACTGACGTTCCTTTGTTTTAAATTGATAATGTATATTAAATTTAAGGAGTGATGTGTGAGGCAGTTACTTTTTACCTTTCTAACAATACTATTTGATGTGATTTACTCCATTTTCCTCACAGCAATTGCTGGGAGAGCTTTCAGAGGTAACAATTACTCTTCTGATACTGAACCTCAAAAATTGCTCTTTTGGACTATGTAGTCACCAGTTTCCATACTGCATGCTTGTTTTGTTTGTAGCAATGAACAGTGATGGGATGAATGTGTGGATGTCCTCAAAAGATCTGTAGTTAAAAAAATAAGGGGGGGGGGAGTTAAATGTGAGTCAAATGTATAATTGGCTTTTGGGCACTGTTCAACAAAATGTGAAAAAAATGTATTTCAGTGTGGTTTCATATGTAAATTTAGAGTTTGAGTGATGCTTCCAGTTTAATTTTATTTTCAGTCCAGCAAGTAATTTTGGTGAGGCTTGTGATTTTAGTACATGTTTTTGAAACTACACCAGTAGCATCCATTAAGAGCTACATATAGTGTTTATCTATCGCTTTTTCTGCATTAGGATTGTGGTGATGTGCAGTTGATGCCTTGGTTTATAATGAATCCTCTCTCCCATAGAAAAGCCCTGATTTTTCCTTGCATGTTGTTTAAGAAGGTTGGGGTACGCATGAGGGTACATTGTGGGGATAAACAGTCTACCAACTGGAATCTGTGAAAAAGATTTTTTAAAAAATCTGAATATCATTAGAACATTTTAATATCTGTGAAATTTTAAAACTCATACACAAGATTTTGGATATATCATAGTACACCTATTTATAATAAATTATGGTATATTTACTATGTATACCTTTCCACCAAAGGACAGGCTTCTTAATTACACATTTTTCTGCTTGTTCTATTTTATAATATGCATTTCACTTTTCGAGGCATTTGACATTTTACAAAGCATTTATTGTCTTAACACTGAAATAGTAGAATACAGAAAAACTCCATCATATGATAGGGTTTTTTTCAACCTCCACACAATGCACTGCACAAGGTGAACACAAAATAATTGAGATGAATGTGCTTGAACTAAATGCTAAGGTAAAAAACCAAAAAGGTTTAATGAGGAATATACTGTGAGACTATATGTTTGCTTCAGTAGCTGACTACTACAATTTAAATGAAAAATTATCCAAGGGAAACAAAAGACTTTTTTTCTAGGCTTAATTGAATCTGCCGGTGTAACTCAGCATAGCTTAACTGTGTCATGGTCCCAGTTTGCATTCACTACAAATTACCTTGTCCATCGGTTAGATTTACTGAGTTGGGGATTCCTGTATAAGGGCAGTTGCTGACATTTAATGAAAGTTTGATTGTTGTCAGGGCAGTAATCTGCTGCTCAGACTCTAACGTAGGGCTCCTACAAATATTTCCCTACTTGATCTGCCATAAACCCTCTGCCTCCAAGGGAACAGGGAAAGGTATTTCAGGAAGGAGCAATGAATCTGGGGAATGTATTAATCTATTTTTGTACCAAAGTAAGCAGACTTTTCATAACCAAGAAATGAGGCATCCCTATTAAGCAAACAAACTTTAATATCAAACTGTGTTAGTCCAAAACTGCAGAGAGGAAACACTGTTAAAACAGTGAGATGTAGAGTTTTAACTTTTTGAAAGAAAAGGGTAGCATAGGTTGCTTATGAGCTTCTGGGCTTATCTATCTTTGGGATTGCTTTGGGAAAATACATGCGTCTTCCTGTAACTGTAAAAGAAAAGGAAGTTATTCCCCAAAATTATTCTTGAGAAACCTGCTAGTTAGTTATTAGCAGCAAGATAATTAGTGTGTTATTAGAACACTGCCTAAAGTGGGGGAAGAGAAGCAACAGCATTCTTCCAAGAATTACGGAGTTTGGGGGTTGGGGTTTTTAAATTGGATTATTGAATTGAGGTGGCACATAGTGACCACACAAATAGCTGAAAAGGCACAACTGAATGGGTAGGAGGAGCAGGAACTTCTTAAATGGTGTCTGCAGTTCAAGAAACAATGTATTATCCCAACCTCTGTGACATCTGTAAATGAAACCATTAGTCAAGCTTAGGTGTGGCTGGATTTTTCACTTTTTTTTCCATAACATCTCTAAAATACCCATTTTTACACTGATGAAGTCTGACAATTCAAAAATTTTGGAAGATGTTAAAAAGTGCCAGGTAACAGAAGTCTGGCATTTAAAAATAGTTTCATTTATAGAACCCATTTGTTTGAAAGAAAGAAACAGGTTTCAGATGGTGCCATTGCTTTGAATTTTGTGTTTGACAGAGAAAAAAATGGATGCCAAATCAAGTTTTGGCAAATTTTGGAACTGTATCTGGCAAATAAGTTGTCTGTGTGTAATAAATGAAATCAGTTGCTTCAGAGCATCCCAGCATTTTCTGCAGAAACCTGAGATTGTCTGATGTCTTGTCCAAGTTTTGTTGTCGAACTGAGTCTCTCTGCATCTTTTCAGAAACAAAGGACGGACTATGTTGCAAAACAACCTGACACAGTTCCTGCTACTCCTTCGCCACCTCCAGCACCTGCTCCTGTCCCCATGGCTGTCCCTCTCCCGCCTAGCGCACCAGCACCTATACCGGTTCCTGTGCCGAAAGCACCAGCAACCATCAGCCGCCAAAGCAGCACCTCTAGTGACAGTGGTGGTAGTGTTGCACGTGACACCCAAAGGCAGAAGCAAGTGCCTGTGGATCGTAAGTTTGTCTGAGAAGCAAGAGGAAAAGTATTTCTCTGATTTCTGTTTGTTTTGCTTAATCCTTAAATTCCTTAAAACCTTGTGTTTCAGATAAATGTTTATGAAATATTTAGCTTTAACACTATGTTTAAAATACACATTTTCTATGTATGTGTGTTAGGAACCTCACTAATCATGGTGGTAAGTAGGAACAAAACACTTCTGCACTTGTTCCAGTCTTAAGTCCTCTCCTTTTATGACTGTCTGGGCTCTTCAGTCAGTGGTTTTCAACACTGTAAATGCCCATGCTGGTATTCTGGCTAATGTACATTTTCCATCTGAACTCACTGCCACATGTAAAAATCTAAATTGCTTTTAAAGTTAGGCTGGTTTTACACTTCTATCCATGGTCATTCGTATTTCTAGGGGTTTTGCACCATTCTAAAATATGTGTCCAAGGCTTGTAAGGAGACTTACAGGTCTCACTGATGCATTGGAACCATGTTGTAATAGCATTGTAGGAGACTCGTCTTATAATCAGGTCCCCTTAGTTTCGTCAAAGCAACAACAACTGCAGGCCACTGAGTAAGCCTTCGTGTCCTTGTCTTAGGAGGACAAGAGAATGTACTCCATAGCCCTTTAGCTAGAAAAACATGGTAACCTGCATCCAGCAGCATGTGGCAGTCATCAAAAGTTAAGACCATCTTGTAAATATAAAGCCTGACTGATGCTGAGGCTTCTACTCTGTATTGACTGAAAAGCAAGCTGTTGGAAGAACTTACTTAGTCACTAATTTGTGTCCTAAATGCACTTTAAGCAGTGTGATTGCTTGACTTGAAAATAACTGAAACTTGTAGGCAAGCGTTTTCTGTAACTTCTAACATAAAACCTATGAAAATGATGAGCTTTCTGCAGTTCAAGAGTTGACAGCTTTTCCCATCCTTTCCCTACCTGCCTTATCAGAAAATACCACTTACACCTGAGGTAAAAACTGGCACCAAATGTAATCCTTTCTGCGGAAGGGCTTCTTTTCCACCTGTTCCCAGTGGATGGGAAGCATGCCCGCTTGGGTAACCATACTCGGTTGATGGAGCCTGCTTTGACATAGTCTGATGGTAGGCAAGCTCTTGCCTAAGCTCTGAACTCAGAAAGGCTCTGGGACCTTTTTAATAATTTCCAGCCAACCAGTCTGTTATGTGAAATCATAAATGGAGAACAGTCTGACAGGAGGAACAGGCTTGACTGCCATTTCCCAAACAAACAGTAGGGCCAGCTTTTGCCTTTGTCCTACTTTGTGCAGTTTTTATTACTTAAATAAAAACAGAAACCTGAGCAGTTATAAAAGATGTGGAAAGCAAGTGTGAATTTCACACACAAACACATGCATAAAAATGATCATTTTATTTCCATACAAGGAGGACTCCAGATGCTGTAGCAAGTGTGTTTCCTTGAATCCACAATGGCCTTCTCTATCCATTACAGATGGAAAATGTGAAGACCATGCTGGCTTCACGTACATGGTGCAAGGTGTGAAGGGTTGCTGTAGACTAAGTGGTTACAAGACATCTCTTACCCTCTCAGCTTCCGCTGAGGCCCCGGGCCACTCATGAGAGCTCCTGGGAGCTGTCGCTCAAGCCCAGTTAATGGGCTTCAGGTACCTCACAGTCCTCACAGAATTAGCTACCTCTCCAAAGACAGTGGGCAACCCTGCCCATACACCTGTTGCCCAGGTAATCACCTGAACCCTGCAGAGATCATGCAATGTAGTACCTGCCTTCACACCAAGAGTATCTTGTTTAGTTACGATAATGTGTCTAACAACAGTAAGAATCTGTTACCTAACAGCTAAATATTTATCTTTTGATATAATCTTGGTCAAGATAAAATGTAAGCCTTTTGAAATCTGTGTAAATAGAAGGAAGATAGCAATTTTCTTGCTCTCTTCCTGTTTGGGAAAATAACCGGTGCAATGCCGCAGTAACATTGCCTAAAGTCTTTACTCGTATATCCCATCTCGGACCTTCACATAGCACCAAGCACATGTCATTTTGGCTTCTGATTCACACTCTGGGGGAAAAAAACCCAACAGAAAAGGGCCTGAATACCTCAAATATTTTACTAGAGAGATTTTGTCTGCTTTCAACCTGGGGCTATTTTGTAAAAGAAAAAAGAAAAATGGCTAAATCAAGGACTTCTTTTTGTTGCGGTAATTAAAAAAAAACCCCTAAAAGCTTATGTAAAGCTTGTTCTTATTTGTCTAACTGGCTAGAGATGTTGATCCTTGGAGAGGTTTTGGGAGAATATAGAAGGAAAGTAGAGAAAGAAACATTTTTGCTGGCTTACAGTTTTTTCATATTGAAGTTGTGTCTTTACCTCTGTTGCTATCAGTATAATGTGAGAAAATTAATAGCTTTTGCCATCTGAGTGCATCAGAGAAGGTTCTGTAGTTACTGTTTGTGTATCAAAGTGAGAAGATTGAATAAAGATAACTAAAAATACGTTGATAAGGAAATCCTGAGAGTTTTTGAGATCATTTAAAGTTGTGTGTCAAGGGATTTTTAAAGTTATTCCAGACTTACTGCATGGGGAGTTTAACTGGGCTAAACCAGATTCTTCTTAGTGACCAAAAAGATATTTACACCCTTTTGGATTTATATGTATATTTGTGAAATTATTTGTAAAACTTCTTATATACATTTTAAACAATTTTCAGTTCCATTATAATTGATTTTTTTTAAAATGCCTGAAAAGCATTTCAGTTTGTTGCCTGCTGATGACCAGCCACTGAAGTAAATGCTTCAGACAAATGGGTTCTGTGGGATATCGAATTTGTACAGTTTTGTTCAAAAAAAAAAAACCCAAACCAAACAAAACAACCCCTTCCCCAATTTCTGTGTCACTGAGAGCAACTACATTTTTCTTTTCTCATTTTTTAATGAAAAGTGTGACATTGTTTCAGCTAATGAGTCACTCAAGGCTTGGAGTGAATTCACCTATCTTAAAACCCCTTAAAAATAGTTATTACAGTAATAGCTTATTAGATGTAAGGTGATATGTTTCAGCAGCAGTGAATTTTTTTTGCCTACATTGATTTGCACTAAAAAATTGAGCTTTCAATTTAAAAATGCTTGTGAAAAGTGCTGCCTTTCTACAGTGTAAGCAATTTTATATTTTTCCTCATCTTTTTTTGTTTTGTTTTTAAAACATCGTAATTGTATTTGAAGATATTCAGACTGTGAAAACTGAATAACCATTTTCTTCTACAGCTTGGGTGCTGTCAGACTGATCTGTGCCTCTGTGCAGCATCAAACTCATCTCATTCTAGGGTCTCAGCTGAATTTTGGGGATTTTGTTTTGTTTTGAAAGAGAGGACTGGGAATATTGAAATCTTCCCTAGGGAAAATAGAGAATAATAATTCAGTCAGATCTAGTGAATGTATCTTTAAAGGAAAAAAAAAGTTCAAGATTAAAGTGGAGTATAAGAAATTATCTGGCTTTGATAAAGCAAACTTGAGAATAACTCCGGTGGGGCATCTCTCTCCCTAGGCAGGAAATCGCAGATGGAGGAGGTTCAGGATGAACTTGTTCATCGACTCACCATCGGCCGGAGCGCTGCCCAGAGGAAGTTCCATGTGCCACGACCAAATATCCCGGTAGTGAACATCACTTATGACTCTTCGCCTGAGGATGTGAAAGCATGGTTGCAGTCCAAAGGATTCAATCCTGTGTAAGTCTGAGGGCAAATGTAAAGAAACCTCTTAAAATTATCTTCCTGTCAGTAATTAGGATGTGGTCTGCCCACTTTATAAAATCCAGCAGCCTTCTGAAAATCAAGACACATCAGTTGCAGTTTTAGAAAAAATTTGTTGTTACATATATACGTGTGTGTATATATATAATATATATCCATATATATCAATATGGTTATAGATCTATAGATATAGATGTGTTTAGGAAAAAAAATGTATATATGTTAGCCTCTACTAAAAGGTATAACAGATACAGAATTGACTTCAAGAGTCATGTTGCATCAAGTTTTGTCTTGATTTAGTAGTCCTGAGACAATGTAGAATGAAGCCAATCTGCTTCTCTCCCTTGGCTACTGTATTTTTTTAATTTCTTGTTTGTTCTCTTGGTGTGACCCCAGGACTGTCAATAGCCTTGGCGTGCTGACGGGTGCTCAGCTTTTCTCCCTCAATAAAGAGGAACTGAGGACTGTTTGCCCAGAAGGATCTAGAGTCTACAGCCAAATTACGGTACAGAAATCTGCCTTGGAGGTATGTGTAAGCCTTCTTACTAACCTAATGCTGGGTTGTCACCTTTTAACCTATAGAAGTAAATAGCAATTCCTGCAAGGCAGCTGTTTTTTTTCTCAGTTCCTATCATGCTGGTAGGCATTATTTGTACCTGAGTTATTTGGTATTGATCCATTGAAACAGCATCCATCAAAACATCAGGTGGGATCTCTCCCCATTTCTAAAAGGGTCCATAAAGCATTAGAAAAAGTGCATGGTAGTACTCAAGTTTAAGACAATGTGTGATGTAATCAGGCTGCAAGAAAACAAAATGAGCCAAAAAGGGCTTTAGGAAAAACAACAGGAGAGAGTAAAATGCTCTTTTTCTTGCCTCTTGCTCTGCCTGGTACTTGGACAAACAGGTGTTCCTGATACTTTTGGAGGTGATGAGTTAGTTTGGCTTTATCTTTGCAGAGGAGATTTGTTTATTAAAAGCTTGTATACAGGGTTGTGCTAGGGAGAATGCTTACCAATTTTAAGCCAGGAGAATTGCAGGTGCAACTACTTCCTTTTTTAAAACTTGCTGTGGCAAGTGGAGACATGGACTCAATACTGTCTAGAGGTGAGACTAACCCAAAAAGAAGTTACATTCTTCACATTCTGTTTAAAAGAAAATCTTGAAGAAGTTTAAAAGTGAGTTTCTATCCCCCCTTGAAGCGGGGACTGTCTTGCTTAAATGATTTTAAGCTTTAACTAACAGTCATGTTTTTAAAGAAAAGATTATGATGATACACATTTTACAATTTACCTGTCAGTGTGGACCAGAGCGCATTTACTCCCTTCTGTTAAAATTGCTTTATTCCCTTCTTCAAGCCCTGTTTTTACCTGTGAGAGGAAGGGAAAAATACTTCACTTCTAGGAATACGTGTCACTACAGTCCAGAGCAATCCATCATTTCCTAGTGAAAATATATGTGTATTCAACTTTTATTTCAGTTTCGTAAGCCTTCTGTGTACTGAGATGGAAGTGCCTTTGTGGTGAAAATTGGTTTGAAAAGCAGAGATGCACTAGATTATAGAAGTCTGTTCTTTTTTTCTTCTATGCTATTATTCTGCTTGCCTCAGGTCTCACTCTGCAGGAAAATGAGCAGTCAGAACTTGCCTAATAAATGCTCTACAAGTGTTAATAAACAGGCACTGAGAGTTTAACAAGGTCATTGGATTTTGTTAGTGAAAAGGTAGTTGAAGTATTTATTTCTGCCTCAAATAAGTGAGGTTTAACTGATGAATTTCAGAATTTATGCAATTCCTGATTGCTTTAGCCTGTTGTTTTCTGAATTACCCAAACCATTAAGACACTTCTTCCTTTCTGTCCCTATAATATTTCAAGTTGCAGGGTTCAGGAAGGCTGTCCTTGTTTTAAGAGAAGCTGTAGGAATGAGTATCACAGCCACAATGTCTACATGTGACCTAGCAGAGATGAGCTTGCCTGTTCCAAACAGGGCTGTGTTCTTACTGCTCAAACTAGAAACGCTTTTAATAACAGAAGCATTTAAGCACACATGTACTTGTACCTGTTTTACAATTGAATGCTTTATATAATTAGTTACTGGGTTATGGGTTTGACCACCATAATTGTCCTGCATGATTAAACAGTGATAAATTTTCATGAAGTTCTCTAGGTAGTACTTGTGGTGTCATATTGCAGTAAATGACCTGTGAGTTAAGTACAAATAGCAATAATAGCCAGAGATGGAGCAAACCCACACAATCTCTAGATTAACAGAATTCCATGCCTCATGTTTATTTGTTAATTCTACTTGGGATCTTCCACAAGTGTTTCTGGATTCATACTGTTTTTGCTAGCCAGTGAAAGGCCTACCTCTCAGATGTGTGGCTGCATTACCAAATACAGAGAACCAGATCTTCACCTTTATGCAGCTGCAATTTTCTTTTTAGTGTTCTTTTACCTCAGGCAGAGGAATCCAGTATTTTGTAATTGGAATTCCAATTGTTGTTGGAATTTAGTAATTTTACCCTTACAAGGAAAAAATGAATAGGTACCACACTTTATTGTCATGGTGACTCCATTCAGCCCTGAGTCACACCAGAGTTTAAAACATCCAAGGAAGCTAAACTCCCAGTAGAGTTTTGTGGCCCCTGTATAAAGAAGACCAAGTAAGACTTCCCTCACAAGTGTGGGGAAGGTGTTTGGGGTTGAACAGCTCTCTGTGCCTGGCCAAGCAAAAGCAGAAGGATAACTCTGTGCAAGACCAGTGTGTCAAGACAGCAGAGAGCTGGCCACAGCCAGGGTCAAACACCTCCTTTCTGCCAGACGAAATGGTGGTGGCAAGCAGTGGTGTCTCAGGAGGAGGCAGGATGCACAACACTCTTTGTACTGGTCAAAGTATCCCTCTCTGGAGCTGTTTTCTGGGGCTGCTCCAGAGAGTTGAAGTTCACCGTGTATGCTAAGTACAGTGCATTACAGCAACTTGGCTGGCCATATATATGAATTTACTTTTTTATTGGAAATTGAAAATATTAATAGATTCCATGATTATCAGTTTTTATGTGTGTTTTCTTTTCTTTTGCTGAGCATTTCAAGCTCAGGTGTTGAAAAGTGCTACAGAAGATAATTATAGAGACACAATATTCTGAACAGACCTTTGTCATCTCCAGAAGGGAACAGTTTAGGTCCACATTCTCGTTTTCTTCTTTCTCCATCAATAGGAAGCATGGGTACACATTGCTTTAAATCTGGAAATGGTTTCTGTCTAGTTTATGTATCAAAATGCTTGGAAGAATAGCTTATTCTCTTTGACATCTCAGTGAAAGGAACGACCCAGGCACAGAAGTGGGATCAAACGGTGGAGTTTACTGATAACCTCATGATCTGGTTAGAGACTAAGCTGGGTAAATTACTAAGGTCAAGATCTAGCAGTCTGTATCAAAAACTGTATTTCTAAGAACAGCCATAGGCTACTTAGCTGTGCTGTACCCTGCCTCTGAGTAGGATGGGCCTGTTGGGCTGTGCCACATGATGTGTTGCAGTTGGTTTAGTTGAGCAGCATTTCAAGCTCATCAGTCATTTTGTTGTTGATGTTATCAGGAAGGTAAACAGTTTCAGCCTCAACTGCTCAGTCATTTTCAGAAAAATATTTCTACATGACCTCTGATAAAGCACATTGGTGGGTATCTGCTGATGTTTTTTATGCATGACTTCAGTAATGGTTGACTGTTGCACTTGCTCTGTATCTGATGATGAATTAAGATAAATAAAACTGCTCCCTCACCTTCAGAGAGTCGGTTATAAGGCCCCTGCTTTGCTCTTCCATGCTGAGAAGAGAGCAATGATAATTTACCTAGGAGAAGCATCCTAGTCTCCCTCCCTGTGGATATCTAACCTGTCTGCCAGGTAATGGCATCAGATGATGCATTGCAATGGATATAATAGGATAAATCTAAATTAAATTTTATGTAATGGGATAAATTTTCAAAGTTCAGAATCAGTTGAAAGATTTTCCTCTTAGCAGTCCTTAAATTTGTTTTAAAAATTTCAAAAACAGTTTCTTCTTATTCAGAAGCTATTTTGGAAGCTGGCTTTGAAGCTTGGAAGGTCATATCATAGACAAATAACACAGTAGCGGATATGGCTCTTGCTTTATAATCCTCTAGTTTTAATAAAAGTCATGCATGCTTTGGAAAGTTCTGCTCTAGTGGATAGATGTCCTGGCCTTGCTAATAACTTCATTTATGTTGACAAAACAATCTGTTTGCAGCTAGCTGAGCAGCCCTGTTTTTCACCCTAAAAGGTGAAATAAAGCCTTGTCTGCACAATACTTCACTGTTGCTAATATAGTGATATGATTCAATTCTTACTACTGTGCTCTAAGCTTGAAACCTGTGTCTCTAAACAGCAAGTGCATGTTGGTGTATTGTGAAAGTGAGATACTAAGATTGAATCCTTACTTAGGCCTTGGATCTGCAAACCCACATGCGTACATGAATTTTGTGTTTACATAGATCTAAAACCAGCAAGGATTTATGTGCTTTAATTTCTAAATAGCATCGCCCTGATTTTTAAGTACTAAAGCGTGGAATCCTAACAAAATTGCTGAGCTTTAACCCTGCTTTCACTGTCATATTTCACCCCATAAATATCCAATACTTCCAGGGGCTTGTGTGAGAATTAAAGATGCTCAGCAGTGCTGAAAGTCAGGCTGACACTTTTAATAGTCTGCAGGTTCTTTTCTGGTCCATATTTAAAGATATCGTAAATAATTTCCTACTTCAAATGTTATTTAACCAGATTCTTTGTATATTTTTAGTTCTGGAGCTGCAGGGTGAGTTTAATTTGTTCAAACATCTATCTTAATAAAATGCTGGCAGAGGAACTTAATCACATGTCAAAACCATTAGTAAACTCTTCCTTTTTTTATTTGTCTATAGGCTAACAGTGGTAGTTCAGAACTGCAAGAAATTATGAGAAGACGACAAGAAAAAATCAGTGCAGCTGCCACAGATTCAGGTGTGGAGTCCTTTGATGAAGGAAGCAGCCACTAAATGTTTCCTCTTTTCTTTAATTCCATTGTCCATAGCATTATACCGTTCAGCTTTGCTTTAGAAAGCAATGAAGGGGAATGTCTTATTATATTGTAAACGTAACTAGCCACCATAAAGAAAATTTACAGTAGCCTCTGCAGAACTACCTGCTGCTGGCTTCTCATTAAAAACTACAAGATGAGAAATTCAATGGAGATTCCTGACAGGTGAAAATATTGGCATGTCACTCATTTACACCCAAAGATGAGGCTTGGCTTTATGGAATTAACATGACATAAACTGGAACGTGTCTGTGTTTGTGATTCATCCGAGGGAAGCTGAGCCAGCAATAAAAAAGCATTTGAACCCTCCTTCAGTAATAATAAGATTCTGAATCCCATCTCTTGCTGTAGTGTGCAATTATGTCTTTTTGGCTCAAGTCTTTCCTGTCGTGCGTTTGGCTGCAGGATGTATACTTAAGTCATTGATGCCAGCAATTGGAGAGGAAATGCTTAGAGAATGAACAGCAGCCCAACTTAGACTGAATCTTTCTTGCATCATTCCCAAAATGTTTTATTACTAATGATGCTGTTTATAGCACAATAATACTCTGTAAATTGATTTTTATCAATATTTCACTCGTGCTGAACTATAGTATTGCACAAGAAAAAATAACTAGAAAATAGTAACACAGCTCAGCTCAAAGAGGTGATCAGATATGCTGTAGGTAGCCATGAAACAATTTGCAGTACTTTTTTTTTTTTTTTAAATATACTTGCATTTTTTTGTCTGTAATTTAACTCATCAGAAGAACAGTGTATAATCTAGACTTCTCTGTGTGTTGATCCCAGATGTCAGTTTTTCCTTATGTAAAAAGCTATTGTACCTTTATAAAAGTAATCTTCTGGAAAAGTGGATTCTGGAGGCAAAAGGGAGAGAAAAGGAAATATCCCTTCCAGCAAATACTATTTTTGAAGATGCAATGATTTTTGTCACAAAACGTTCTGTTATTTCACATGGTTGTGTGATTTTATATATAATATATGTATTATATATAATATATAATATCACTTAATTTAGACAGATTTAATCATCTAGTTTGATTAAGTATCATAGTGCCTTTTTCACATGAAAGCTTAAAATCTGCAATAAACAGTATTTCTTGTCTGTTAAATAGTTGTATCTTTGTGGCTACAAAGATGGTATTGAAATAAGAAAGTGTTCTTGATTTTTGCCATTAGTTTGCTCTTCCTCTGTGTATAAGGGAACAAAAAAATCCTATTCATTTTTCATTATAGAAAAATTAAAGAATCTTAATAAAGGTGTTTAGTGCCATTTATTGTAAATGTCTTTACAAATACTACTTCTGTGTGTTGGTTATGTGTGTCTCTATATTTTTACATTTTATATATATTCTTTATGCTTGTGAAAAGTACATAGATTGTACACATGTCATTTAAATGTAGTCATATCCAGAAATGGGTCAAGAAGTGACAAATCCCAACTGAAGACTCCAACTGCTATAGCAGTTACTAAGAAATGGATTCTTGTCTTACCCAGTGAAAGAAACAATGACTCTCAATTGCTTTCTCCCTCTAGGAAACATTTGAACCAGCACACCTGCATGATAACTGCATCCATTCAACCTACAGACATAGCTTTAGGGGGCAAAATTGTCTGTCTCACTACCTGCCTATCATTAAAGATCAAGCCCAAACCTCCAAAGGCTTGATTTATTCTCTGATTCACATTTAAAATTTCCTCTTCCTCACACTCTCTAGTAAGCATCCATATCTAGCCTGAAGAGTATTCACTGTATACCAGTCTCTTGCACTGGATGGTGAATGACTAAGAAAATAAAGGAAGATCTGAAGCGTCTCTTATAAAGATGCTTTGTTACTTGTAAGTACAGGAGCAGGAAACTTTTTAAAAGGTCGTTAAAACTCATATTTAAAAATACTACTGTCTTCTCTCATGGAAAGTATGTCTGATTCCATAAAAGGCATTGTGGTGGTTACCTGCACCTCTATTCCCCTTTTAATTACTCAGTATGAAGCCAATACTCATGTTCTCTGCAAGCTTAATCTAGCGTTCAGCATATGGTTTGCTTTGCTTTGCTTTTGCCCAGGAGGAGGCATCAGCTCTGAGACTCTTCAGACTGTGTGGAGTTTGGCATGCAGAGGTCTTGGAGGAAGCCCCCATGATTCATCTCTGAGAGAAAAGAGGTGGCTTCACACCTTCTCTTTTTTTGAAGCTGGATTTCTGTGTAACTGTTAAGTTTTATAGAAAGAGCCAGACAAGTTTGAATGTGGTCAGTGTGCTCAGAGGCATCTTTGGAGATACTTGGGAGGGTAACAGGAAACCCCCTCCATAGTTTAAAGGGATAAGCAGACTAATCTGGGGGTTTGGGGGTTGATTGGTCTCTTTGTTTCTGTGTTTCATAGTTTTAAAATTAACTACTAATGACTTAACAGCCCAGTACAACTTGAGTTGTATTTTACCCTTTAACTTTGCTGAACTAGACTTCATGATTGTTCTGTTAGTCTGTAAAATCTGAATGGCATTAAGGCAGATACTGTTTCCCTATTTGCTGAAATTTCTTTGATGATTTAAATCACTACAGGCAGCTTCACCCCTCAGCTGTGCAGTTTTTATATTTTCAGCTTGTTGGCAGTTAAGAGAAATCAAAAGGAGATCTCATTTGGGGTTCCTCAAATAAAAATAAATTGTTTTCTTCCAAATTTTCAATGTCTTAAATTAAAACAGTGGTACAATACAGTATCGTTCAAAAATGTTTTCTTTAGGATTTGAGCAGTGAGGATTATTTTTTTTTTTTACACTAATATTTTTAGAAAGATGTGATACATGAAAAGTGTCTTTGAAAAAGAAAATTTTTTTAAATATCAGAAAAGTGCCTTATTTCATGTGGAAAAAGGAGTCGTGTTTGATAACATAAGAACTACTTTACTTTTGCTGCAATCAAGTCTGCCTTTTTAACTGGGTGGAGGGAGAGTTTTAGCCATGTATGTTCACTCAGCAGTTTTACACTTTCTATTTAACATCAAGGCACTTCTTCCTACTCCTTTAGTCTGCTTGTTCCCTTGGGACACCATGGGAAAAGGAAACCACTGTGAAATCTCACATTTATTTTGTAAAGAACACTTCTAACTGATATTGATGCATGGAACAGATTACTTACCATCTAGCAATTCAAATGTTAAACAGTGCTTTGCTCAGACAAACTCTGATCTGTAAGATTTTTATACATACTTTAATTGCTCCAAAACATTGTGTTGTATAAAAGCTAGTGGGTTTGAGGCGGCTGGGAAATAAGTGCAGACTTCCATGTTATTCATGTGTGCAGAAATCAGTGGTTTATGGGGAAGTAGATATCCAAAATGATATGATAGTCTGAAATGTGCAAAGCTCCCAGTGGCTCTGTATTCATCAGTGTGGAACTCTGAAAGTGTCCTGGAAGTGCTTTGCTGAACAGTAACATCAGTACTTTACTAGTTTAGCTAAAGGAACAAAGAGAAACCCATGAATAACTACATGATGTGAATTAAGTCTTTCTAATTATGAAACTGGTAACTAGCAGAATTTTTACTTTTATTATGGGAAGGCACTTTGAAGACATACACAGAAGCAAGCTCTAGCTTGAATACCAGATACTTACTCAAGCAGATATCTTCCACTCATTTTCCTGGGCTGCATCTCATGCATAAGGGGATGTATGAATGGAAATCCATGTTTCCAGCCAATCTACCATTTTATAGGAACCCAGTTTTTCTATGTTTTACCTCAACTTTGAAGTCTTCATAGCTAAACACAAAAACAAACAGCCCTGTCTAAGGATTGAGTCTGATACCACAAGAGTATTTGAGGGAATAATACTGTGCTCAGCCTCCCACCTTTACATACAAGCAACAGCATTACATATGGGCAGTGCAAACATAAGGGAATTTGTAAGCATGTATTGGGTGCTGCGTTTGAATATTTCACAAACATTGAATTTTTACTATGACTGTGTTTGTTAAATTCTTGCTAGTAAGTGCCTATTTAACTGCCTTTGGCTTTCCAGTATATTTTTTGTTTCTCTGCAGTTACATGATGAGGTTGCATCTTTAGCCTTTTACTACTTCCTTAGCATCCAAACCAAAACCAGTATTAGGACATTAGTCTGTGCTTCTGTATCTTGGTAATACTTACAGAGTAGAAGAGGAAATGAAAGAAAATAGGGAGACTTCCTAGATGCTTCCTAGTCACCACTGGTGCCTGTCCCAGCAGCAGCAACGTTCAACCCACTCCCATCCATGGCAGCAATACTAACAACGTTATCCTCTTACAAAAAATGGCTGAAAGCAACAACTTTTGCCTGCCTGAATGAAACTACTGTTTTCACACAAGCCTTTTAAGAAGTTAGAAGTGGGAGGGAGGTGGTGTGACTGCGTGGTTAATGAACTGAGGAGGGAAGGGCCATTTTGGTGCTTAAGCTTATGTTGAATAGCTGACAAGGGGCAACTTTATCTTCTTTAGGTGCAGTAAAAAAAAACTGTAAAATGAAGCAAAGCACAAGACTTCTCAACCTTGTGTGAGAAGGGAAGGAAATAGCTCTGATGACCCAAGGATGTCAGGGCTAACTGCACAGGGTGCTCTTGGAGAGATAAACACTGTCAGAGATGGTTAAAAACTTCCTAGCTCTTCTAAAACATATCCTTAGGTTTATTTGTTTGTTCCTTCCTTGACAGCAAGCACAGCATAAGGCAACGAGAGAACCTGCCCTGTTTTCAGTTAATGGTTGCTCACTGTGCAGAGCTGCTTTTACATACATCTGGGACAGTAGAGGCTGTAAGAGCAGCAGATCAATACAGAGCATCTATGGGGTCAGCAGAGCTATAGGCATGAAATCTGTAATTCAAAACACCTATAACAAAACCTGAAGCTTCAGACAGCTTTACAGCTGCAATGACTTGATATTTTGACAGATGCTGGAAACCTTATCATCATACAGCATGAGTCCAAAACATTGTCTGTTTGGACTTGCTTTCAAGGAGCGTGACAACATAAAACCAAAAGTATGACGTATCAATTCAGGCTAAAAGGCTCTGCTTGACTCTTCTGAACCACACTCTCTCCCAGACTCTTTCAATCATTTTACATATATCTTGAACCTTCCACTGCCATCCCAACACACCAAGTTATCCAGCTTTGCATACTGTATGGGGTAAGAAAAAGTATTTTTTCTGAAGGAGTTTTCATTGTAATTCATTTTGTGATTAAGTAGCTATTAAAGGAAAAATACACACCTGTTACTGAGCAAATGGAATTATTTTTTGGCATGCATTCAAAAACTGGCAATATCATTTGCAACAACGTGCTTTTTGGCATCTTTGCAGCAATCTTGTGCCCTGTCATGTTCAGCGAGCTCTTACAGCCAGCCTACACTGTGATATTTTGTGTGCCTGTGAATGTTTTAAGAGTAACCTGTTTACTCTGGTCTGTGATACAGAATAAATGTAGACTTGATGGGCAACGGCCAGCAGGAGGGAGGAGACAGTAGATAAGAAAGCAAGAACATTACATTGGTGGGGTTTATTTCCTGCTCTGTCCCTGCCCCACCCCCACCCCCAGTTCTCTAGACATATTTTCTCAGTAAACACAGCACAAAAATCTGAAATACATTTTTTTTGAAAGCATGAAAGCAAAGTCTGAATAGTCAAGTGCTCATGTATAATTCTGTCTCTTGTTCAAATTAGGCCAGACAAATCTTTGTTGTTCCTACTGAAATGGCAAGCCCTCCAGCTGAGGTGCACTGGTAAAATAAGAAATGTGTACCACTGAAGCCTTGCTTGGTAGCAGTCTGCTCCCTGAAGACACAGCTCTCTGCCCTTTTGCATCCATCTCTGTGTGTCTTGTTTAGAGAAATGGCAGCTCTGCTTTAGGACTGCACTTACTGGAAAACGTGGAAATAGCATTAGATGCATGGAAAGAGAAGGGGGGCACTTCATATCTACCCCTTTAATAATCAGAGGTAGAGTCCTTTTTCTTAAGTACCCTTCCCAAGGATGTGTTTTATTTGAGGGATGATGTTGTCTATGCAGTTCTACATAATATAGTTGGGATAGTTTGAAGGATGATTTTTCATTGTAGATATTAAAGTAATAAATACTTATTTACCTGCTAAGGGAATAACTCTTAGGAAGAAAAAAATTCAAATACCATCTGAAGGAAGTTATCAGGCTCCTGGAAGTAGCTGAGCTACCAAACTACACCCTGGTACCCTGACAGGTGATAGCAGGCCCTGGGGTGAATAAAAAGCATAATGTGGGTGTGTT